ACTGAGGAGCAGTATATAATGAGCGGCGTGGCCAGCGCGGTGGACTCGGATGGAAGGCGCCTGACGTGTGGCTCTGGCTTGTGATTGGTAAATGAAGCCTGTTCTGTTGTACCAGTCTTTTACCTATTAGGGCTCGGGTATTCTACAGTCGTGACGGATCAGGGCGCAGACATGTTGGACCACGTGGCCGCAGCCAATCCTGCGTCTGTCTGTGTTCCAATGGCATACGAGGATGGTAAGCAGCCAAACAGAGAAGGACACGACTAAGGAGCAGTGTATAATAAGCGGCGTGGCCATTGTGGTGGACTTGGATGGAAGGCGCCTGATGTGTGGCTCTGGCTTCTGATTGGTCAAAAAAGCCCGTTCTGTTGTACCAATCTCCTTCATACTATGGCTCCGGTACTGTACAGTGTAGGCGTATAACGGCGTAGACATATTGGACAATACTGGCTTCAGCTAATCCCTATCAATCTGCGATCCAATGACATCCGAGGAAGATATGCAGCCAACCAGAGAAAGACACGAATGAAGAGCAATATATAAAAAGGGGCGTTGCCAGCGCGGTGGACTCGGTTGAACTGCGCCTGTGATTTGGTTCTGGGTTGTGGTTGGTCAATGAGGCCTGTTCTGTTGCACCAATCTTTTTCATGCTACGACTGGGGCATTCTACAGTATTAGCGTGAATGAGAACCAACTTGTCGAACTTAAGACCAAAAACTCCCAACAATTGGTTAATGTCGACCAATTGACGGGAGTAGGCTGTAGGGCCTACCATGTGATCTGTTGTAGAATACCCGAGCCCTAATAGGAAGAATACTGGTACAACAGAGCAGGCTTTATTGACCAATCACAAGCCAGAGCCACACGTCAGGCGCCTTCCATCCGAGTCCCCGACACTGGCTACGCCGCTCATTATATACTGTTTCGCATTCGCGTCTTTCTCTGGTTGGCTGCATCTCTTCCTCGCATGCCATTGGATCGCAGATAGACGGAGGATTGGCTAAGGCCAGTGTCCAAAATGTCTGAGCCCTCAGGCGTCGTCACACTGTAATGCAATTTTTCGGTACTGCTAATGGAAGATTTGAATAGGTTACCAGTTTTAGCAGTAAATCAGCTCACCAGCTACGTGGACTTTTAATCCCGCAGTGGATCTATCAGAATTAAAGAAGACAACAAAACTATTGTTCGAATGCAGAAAGTTTTCTACACCGATGGGCGCAGTTATATTGTCCTCATATTTGTCAATGTGGTATAGAGCACTGTAGTGAATGACTGGTGTACCGTCTACTATTTTAGAAGCCAAAGGGAAGTCGTTCTCCACATTACTTCTGATTAAACATCTCCAGTTTTCCAAATTTGCACCAACAAGTTTTGAAATAAACGATGATTGTACACAATGGGTAGATCACATGGAAGTCATGCGTGTTCTTTACCAGAGAATAAGTAGAACTGAGGAGGGCGTATCCATTGACACTGAAAACTAATTCGAAGCCATGTGTGATTTCCATTCATTTGTTTTGATTAATTTATTTCTAGGCTTTGCAAGTCGATGAGCCATTTAGCGGTTAAACTCCAATATCGCAGTCTATACAAGTTTTCTCAATAATTTGCTTTAGCATGTTTTTGTCTGAAATTTGACCGCTTTTTTATTATTTCTTGATAAGTTGAAAGCTGGCTAGCTGACCATTTATCAGAATGCTTTGTTGACTTGGCTTTTACACTGAACCAAATTATAGGGTTGATCTATTCGCATCACACTTGCAAATGCAATAGTATCTGCCATTGGTTCCATAGCAAAATCTATATACCTGTCACTAATGGTGGCTAGGACCGTACATTTTCGTATATTGTTTCTCCGACATTTGCATTTCAACGTATTTGTCTTGTTGATTAATAATTAGATTCCTGGTGTACAAATCAGTTTACCTCACCAAGTGTCAAATATCATTCCGGAGCAGACACAATGGCGGCTCTAATTGATGCAGTAAATCATTGTATTTTTGGTTTTAACAGAAAAATGTGATATCTATTTTAGTGGCATAGCGTCTCTCCAAAGATAAACAAGCTCTAATATTTCAAATAGCATTATGTTAATATATAATCTTCCGTCCATTTCGTAGCAATGGAAGATTTAATTTCCTATCCTAGTTGAATTTTTTAGATTGACAATCATTTATTATGTGCTTCAAATAACTTCCTCTTTCATTGCAATCACCGACGTATAGCGCTTACGGGGTAGCGTGATGTTATTTTCCTCTTTGTGAAACAAAAGAAAACTACTCTTCAATAACAGTTATAACATAACGCCATAAAAAGCAGAAATAATGAAATTAGAAATTGTGCAAGAGTATAACCATAATTTATCGGATTTATGAATACTTTTTTAAAATGTGATTCAATTTGTTTGTTTTCAGGGAAGTAATGCAAGAAATTACACATTTTTAAACCTTGTCCTATTTACATTCAGTCGTGAGGGGAAGAATTGGGTAGCTACCAAACCTGATCGTGTATTTGGTGCTGTATATGTGGTTGATGATTTGTCATTCTACTAATAATTTAAGGAAAGAGTGGAAGATTACAGTATAAAAGAAATTGGGTTTAAAAATATTGATGAGGAACAAGTGCTATAGGCAAGTGGACCAAACTTATATTGGCAAAGGCCTAAAGTAAGTAGGGCCAGAAATCGTGGTTGAGTTCAGTAGTATCCGATCCCAGGTTTCGATATTTTCGAAGTTGATCTAGCATTCCTTACTCTTTCGATCCCACAAATGCATGTTTTGAGTTATGATAATTTAAAACCGCTTCTCAAAGAGAAAACCGGTCTCAGGTGATGTCCGGAAAATTAATTCTACTACAACCAATAGTGATTTGTATAAAATGCGCTTTTGCCACACTTGTTTGCTGTTAGACAATGGTAAATCTTATACGGAGAACCGAAAAGTAGGACGTCAAATTTTTTTATATTAAAACCAGGACATGTTGGTATCATCAAGCATTCAGATACATCATGAAGCAGCACCTGAGGCAAAGGAAATAAGGATGATGAGGAAATAGCCCAGCTCTCAAAAGCACATTCCGTAAACAATTGTCACGACTTTGTGGAGTCCCCATGTCAACATTTGTCATATATTTTTGGCAACCCAAAACTGAGAAAAGTTAAGCACCATGAATTGAATTCCATGTTTGTACACTGAAATAAATACCCTTTCATTTTATTCAACCAAAAATAGCCACAACTCCCAAAATCGATAAGTAAGTCCCTGACGCAAACTAGGGGTTCCCTTGCTTGAATAAAAAAGTGTTTAGTGACACAAACATGTTTAATTACTTAGCAAGAAATCAGACGGAAAAAGGAAAGATGAACACAGTGAGAGCACACGGAACATGTTCCTATCTACTCTCGTGCACACACGCTTGTTATACTGCGGTGTAAGCTGCGATGAGCGCAGGTCGGAACAGCCGTTGTCTTTAGGGAGCTGAAGCGATGGTAGAATTTAGCATCATGTTCACCTCCTCAGCGATCGCAGCGAGAACAAACTCAAATTGACCCTTAAGAGTAAAAGAACCAGTAAGTAATACTAGTATTATGAACCCAGTTGGTAGTAAATGGAATTTTGCAAAAGTAAGTACGATTTTGAACCCAAAACTAAAAGATTTCGCATGTTAACTGGAAGAAACTTCAAAATACTGATCAGTCCTTTTTCTGGAATTTTGCTTTTAAAACTTTAAGATGTGCAACATCAGGAATACAACTAATAAGCTGCACTTATCAATCGAAACAATCGGGTCTCCTGTACACCCGGATTTTTTTATATTTTCAAAGTCTGTACAGTTTTATTTCGAAACTTGAAATATTAATTAACTGCAAAAAAAGGTGGACCACCTACAAGTCGGTTCGAAAGTAATAGTAAGTCCACAGGCTAACAGATGTTCTAAGGAAGTGCCAAGATGTTTGGTCGGCAAATCGACCGGGTGGCGTTGTGTAGGAATCAGATCATGAAATCCCAAAGCCAAGAATTGACAGCATTTGTGCCTCCATATAATTGTCATATTGTCCAGTTATGCATTAAATATGTTTACATTTTAGGTACATATATGAAACATTGTTTATTTTAATTGTTCTCTTGTAAACACAAGTTGAGAATTTATGTAAGTGAGGTACTATAGGGCCGTTGTTTAAATGATGTCAGTGCCCTTGGTTATGTTGAATTGTGGCAGTGTAACGCGCGCCATTCGACCCACGCACACCGGTTTGGCCTGTTCTTTGTCCTCTTCTTTCTTCCCACACCCTCTCCTTTCTCACGCCCGTGAGTCTGAGAGCAAAGCCGACCCTCCTCACGGCCATTTATTTCCCCGCTCTAACTCTCCCTAAGATCTAGCCCTCTGAATTTGTATGCAGTAGTATGGATAAAACCCTGTTGTTCCAATTATTCTTCTATCGTATGCCTGTTAGCTAACCACGATGGTGTGACGATCTAGGAGGGACGGGCTAACAGTTATCTGCCTATTTAGATCCCGGTCGCTAGGCGCATTACAGCAGGAAAAAACAGATCCAATTACTTCTCTAAGTGTGCTGAATTTGAAGTTTAAAATCATTGGAATCATTATGACGCCAGATTCTTAAAAAAAAAAACAAAATTTCTTTGGCTAGGCCTAAATTTTGGTTGTCGAGGTATAAGTAGCATGCGATCCCACAAAGCGGGAAATGAGGATCACACGTTTAAGAGTCATACCTACTTAAGATGGACAAGGACGTAGCAAGCTGAAAGCAGAACAAGCCCATTACCATTAGTTTAAATAGGTAAGTTGAACCGTTTTCTAGTTTGTTAGCTAGAGTCCAATGACGTGTAGGACTAATGCCTCAAGCGTTCTTTTTCCCCTGTCATTTGCTTAAACCTAAATCAGTTGATGGCCGATTCACATCACGCTCTTTAGTTGGAAGCAGTGTAGCTTTACTTTTGTGCGATGAGAACAAATTGGCGCAACATCCCATGAATGGGAAACTTTTTGATCTACTCTCACTACCTACACAACGTGACCCATTTGCTCGGAGTTAATTGAATTAGGCAAAAATTAACGCGCGTGGGGATAGGCGCGAACGATGTGGACAAAATCTGGCTTTAGAAAATCACCTTCGTTTGGATCATGCCCTGGCGCTGATCTCGAAGGTGCTCGAGAGACGCTGCCACGTCCAACTCCTTAACGCCCTTGTTGATTCGACTGAGAACAAGATCCAGTAGCAGATAGGTCCCAGTCTTGCTCGAGCCGTCCCTAGAGCAACATAACGGGGAAAGTTTATGTAACTAAGGCAGCCAGTGTGTCAAACCATGGCATAAATAAAGCATTAAACATGTCCGTTGGCAGACAGATTTTTTTGAGGGAGAAAGGCTATCAGTACTCCAGAAAAGTACACCGTTACCAAGCCCTTCATAACGAGCCAAAGCAGACCATAGTGGCGCGTTCTCCGTAATTACTGGTCAAAGCGCTTTACACTACCAAACACAAGTTGCCCAATGGCAAGTAACCAAAATTGAGTGGGTCGATTCGTCACTTATGGTGAATTCGCTCTTTCATTTCCTCTAGTTGATGCGAGATCAATTAGACATAAATGAAGCAGTAATTCTGCGACCAAAAATCTGCGAACGTAAGTGGGCCAATCGCATGTTTGTCCGTTGTAAAAAGGACTCCATACACACAGCAATATGGCCCATTAATTAATGTGGTCCAAACTTATTTCATAAAACTATTAATAGAATTTTCTAAAAAAAGAATCTGGGGGGGTGACATTAACAAATGTCACGTTGTTTTTATTTGCCAAAAATTGATGGCAAATTATCTTTGGCCTCGGACGATAATGATATACCGACGTTCGCATTGTGATCTTGAATGAGCGCACAAGGTGTGGCAATTCGATTTTGAGGAAGTTGTTTTAAATGTTGGAAGCAACATTGTATGAATTGTCACCTTCGGTGCGGTGATTAAAACAGAATCTACTGCCTTTGAAATGCCTAGGTGAAAGTGGTAATCAAACCATGGGACCACCGAAAATACAAGGAAAATTTGGCACAAGCGTTGAGGACGCAAATGAATTTAAAAGTGAGGAAGGGAGAGCGAGAAAAAAAATTCATCAGCAGCAACACGAAATTCCCTCCCCCAAAGTCAGCGTGTCCTTGTGGAGACCATAGTTATTGCTGCTGATGCAGCAGCAAATCGATCGAGAATATGTAACCTATTCGTGGTTGATAAAACTACGTCTAAACTATCATTTCCTTGCATTAAACTCAGATAAGTAAACATTTCGTCTGAGTAAGACGATTTTATTGCGTACGAAGAGCAGAGACAATACATTAAGCAAGATGGCAGGTGGAGACGAATCAAACGCTATCCCACTAACACCGTTTTTAATTAGATTCAATTGCGAAAAATGTGTCACTAGCAGGTTTAGCTGCTGGAAAACACTACCACTCGATGACTGTCTAAATGGAAACTTACAACCCCACCAATGACGTTGAGTGAGCAAGTCTTGAGAGATGTGATTAAAGGTTTCTCGATTTGTGAACCAACAAAACCGTCGACATTGCAGTTTACTAAAAAGGAACTTCAGCGCCTGGAGACAAAGTCGGTTTCTTGCACAAAATTTGGCAGTTTGTGGGTCAGTCAGCAAAACAGAGGTCCTATGTTGTGGTCCCCAGTCCATTCAATACTTACTGCGTGCCCGAGAAATAGAGAGCGTTGATCTAAAGGTCTCAAAGTGATGTAAGTGATCCGTGCACATAGTTGCGACTGGCATCAATACTTTACGAGCCCAAGTTAAGTTGCTTTTATCATTGGTTTGCTCTTTGAAGGCAGTTTTCTTCCCAGAATTACAATGCTGATAATCTTATGCAGTTGGCAAATTTAAAGGCCGTTTATTGTACCATGCCCCTTTTTAGTACATCAACTGTTAAAGCACTGTATTATTTTGTAATCAATGGGGATCTCAATTTATCTGACGTTTCTAAAGTTACTCTTGTAGTATTTGCTTGCCAGAATCAAGTAAGGCATTTAAAATCTTCGGATTCAGGTTATCGTTTTCACCGAAGAACATGAACCAGAATAATAAGGGCCAACAAAGGTGTCTTTAGCACCGAATTTAGCAAGCACTACTACCTTTCTGAAAAAAAAACCATTGTCTTTTGACGATCAGTGAATCAAACCGGGATAACACCCTATCTTTAGGGAACAAGACATGCTTTTATCCTAAAACGCCACCAGCATGCGGCTGGTTAATGACCTTGAGTAATGAGCATGAGTAAAGGTAATGCGTACGTGTGCTCAGGAATGATGGGTCTCACGCACGCACGCACGCACACACGTACGCACACATAAACTTAGTGACTTCTAACCGTAACGCATCTCGTGATTTTTCCTCTACATAAGATTGTTGTTGATGTTCACGGCACCATATAACAGGAGCCCCCATAGACCACTAAAGATTTAAGAAAAAAAACAACAGAGAATACTCACCTGCAATGGACAACCACGGGGCTGTTTTTCGCTCTGAATGATTTGTTCACTTTCCTGCAATTAAAATTAGAAGGCTGGGTTAGTTTTGTGGACAAAAAGTTGGGAAATCATGTTCCGCATAATAAGGCCTAATTCCTGGTCACGATGAGAGATTTTAAGAATAGGAAGCTCAGGAGATGCGCAGTGAACAAACACCAGCAAGAAAATGTGGAGTCTGGATAATATACATGGAAGACGCATGCAGCGCACACACCTTTTTAACAGAGAAAACGTATTCTGTGCAGCAGTTGTTTCTTGTCAACACAACTATAAAATTACACCTCCATAGCTGGAACCTTGAACTATAAGGCAGAACTGGAAAAAAACGATGTAGTATTTGAGAACTAAAATGCTAACTCGTTGGCCTTATTTGTGCAGACACTCATATTTTTAACCGACAATGTACAATGTACAAAGATATCATTGCTCAATATGAATACTAGCGATTAAGTCAATGGAGAGGAGTGCAACATTTGTCATGTTATTTCCGCATAACCCCCTTTTTTACTATAGTGATTATGTTTCAACGCTATTTAAAGTCACCAATAACGGTAAGTGACTGTTTTTTGTTCACATATAGTGTTTCTTCTATTATCGTAATATTTTTTGTTTAGGATAACGCTACTAAAATCCATCATGATGGGTTGTTTTTGTTGTTCTTCGATTCCAGCGCGTATATCCACTATTGCTTTTGCCGATGTTATTTACAGGGAGGGTTAGACTAAGTGCCATTATCGATACCATTAATCACTTTAAGTTATGGGTTTCGGTGTACTATTTTTATTCCCTAATTTAAATTTTGTGTTCCTTCCGAGACTTGAACGTATGGTGACGCCTGACCTAAATCTCTAACATAGGAATAGTGAGCAAAAATATCCGAAATGTGGATTTGGTCTTACATGCAAGTGTCAAATCAAGAGATTCAAATGCATGTGAGATTTAAAAATTATACGGTTTTAGCTCACAAAAATCAGGCCTGGAATCATAATGAGTTGGTGGGTGGATAAGTTGAAGGCTAATAATTCGACGTTCAAATCGAACCGGAGATACGCGACAAACGAGGCAGCCAATTGCCACATTTACAACAGATTTATATTGCCACCAATATTTCGGATAAATTGTGTTGAACACATTCCATATACCCCGGAAACAGAGTCTGTTCTCAATTGACTTTTGACAGTCGCAATTGTCGAGGTTGTCTGTTTGCTTAACTACTAGCTAACAACCGCGCGTGAATTTCAGTCCCGTTTAAATGCCAAAATCCATTAAATAGCCTCTTAGAGCCTTTCCCCAGTCGTGTCGTTCACGTATTGCACGTTTCGTAACCTTAATTAATCATGGCAAAAATGAATTCGTCGCCCTTTAAAAAGAACCGACTGAAAAAAGTGCACTTTTCAAACACGCTTTCCAGAGGCAAAATGACATATGTCTCCAATGTAATACGATCTCGAAAGAAAATCCAGAGCTTACCAACAGAGTCAAACAGGCTATCACAAATTAAGCTTAATTCTCACCTCCTGAATTCCAGCAAAGTTTTAGCGTCGCAAGAAGGAGTGTCCGAGGCCCAGCTAAGGAAATGGAACTGAGTGACGGTCCTGGTTTCACCTGTGTCGCGCTCCTTCAGGTAGAAGGAACGTGTTATGTAGTCACTGCAGGTTCTGTGTTCTGATACCAGCCGAACCTACAGGTGCGTTGATGAAATATTGCTCAAAGTAGGTCGACGAAAATAGGAAACATCACACAGATAACATGGCTACTCTTGGCACCGTTGGTATTTATTCTATTTCGAATACCCCTATTACTGCCAATAATGAGGCTTTTTAGTGTCCTGATTATTTACTTTCCCCCACCTCTGTATCTCCTCATGTAAGTGATTGAGCTTATTATGTCTAAACAGGAATTATGGCCAAGCTTTGCGACATTTGCGTCTGGCAGATATTAAGGCTCATAATTTGGTGTGAACAACGTTAAACAGAACCAGACAGACATAACATGAGCTGAATATCCATAAAATTAAAAAAAAGTTTTTGGTTTATTTACGCGATCTGTTAAATTGGTGAATAATTACGCAAGATGCTACTTGTAATGCAGACATTACACATCACACTAGAATGTAAATTCAAAATTGAACATGCTGGTTTAAATCATGCAGTTTAAATGAGCGGGGAAATTTGCTTCGTTTTACGGTGGTTAGGCTTCATTCAGTCGTGAGTATGACTTCAATCCACTCTTGCTCGTGCTGGTTAGTGAAAACAACATAAGCAGTGTACAGCTAAGTATTGAATTTTTGAATAAAAGTATGTTCATCGAAGGTATATCATCCACCGAATTCACCACTGGGAAACCTGATTTTCAAGTTCTCTATAATTACTTCAAATTTGAATGAAAAAATTTTTTTCTTGTAAAGCATAGGGCTATTAAATTAGATGCTTACAAAACGCGGCGGTGTGAATAGATCTGGGGGTGGTAAGGAGATAAATTAAGTGGAAATAAGGCAACAAATTGAACGACATTATTAACCAATGCCTTAAGAGTTAATGTCAGCGATTTATGCATTTCGGGATCACTGGTTTCTGAACAAATCGATTCACAGTGAACTCCCATTTCAGAGGGAGGAATTATTGAAGGCCCATCAGAAAACTTGACTCGAGTAGTAGGTTCATATTCATTTTCCATGCATGCGTGTTTATCTGATTAGTTGGGCATCACAGGTGTACATTAAATTGGTCTCACCATCCAGTAATTACCAAGACGCTGGGACAACGGGGAAAGTCGTGACTAGCATGAGATGACCTCACATCAGTGGCGCAGCGAGGTCAGGCCTTAATGACATGTCGCATTCAGCGGGTTCAATCAGTGTATGCTCTCGCGCTCTCTCCCTGGTGTGTGACTCATCTTGAGCTTACCTTTTCCCCACTAATCAGGTTTTTGAAATTAATATCACCTAACAACAATTATTACTTCTTACAAGAAATAAAAATAAGTGGGGCAGGAGAGAACATGAAAACGCTGGTTGTAAACTACTTCCTTGGAAGCTTGATTTGTACGACAAGCCGCGTACTTGGTCTTCAAACAACTGGATAATACGATGCGCATAAAAGCAAGGAAGTTGTTTTCAAAAGACGCAGGATCTAATCTGACAAAACGCTTACTTCGAGAATAGTATCCACTACAGAGAATCGCCAGTGGTTTAAACTGACTAATTTGGACTGGTGTGGGTTAAAATTTATCCACCAGATAGTATATATTTGATTAGCTGCATCAAAATCAACACAGGATCTTGTCACGGAGTCAGGACAAGTTAGGACGCTTGAATCAAATTTGTTCCACTTTACAAACTACGTTCGCCATACATGAACCTGTGGATTTGTCAACATTAGAATTGGCCGTGAGTTTCCTGATCTGCTATAACTAATAAAATTATTAACGCCAAAGAAATGATTATAAATGCAAAAAATGTCCCCGTCGATAATCATGATCTTCTGCGCAGACATTAAGGCTTCTTGTACACTAATCGATAAATAACTCAAAAACATACTGGATGACAGAAAAGCAACCAATGGGTTTCATTTGGATGCAGTGGCCAGCGGCGAAATCGAAGAGTTGAGACTTGACGTTCGACCGAACGAATTAAAGTGCACTTCTGATTAAAATTCTACCCCATGGTAAAAGGTGAACAGGATAGTGAGCAAAGTGCACTGAAAATCCGGACCTCGCACCATCTCTAATTGTACACAATCACATGGCTGAGATGACAGTGGTGAACGCGTAAGATATCGTCCATAATTCATTTTCCCACCTTAGACAAACAGGGAATGCTGCCCAATATTGTCATGACGTAAAGGAAACAAATAAGCAAGATTTTCACGGAAAGCTATGTGAGAAGCAAGTCATCGGTGTGTTCTCGTCAAAAGCAACGCTACAATGGTCGAATGAGGCTGGTTAGAAGGAACCATCTCACAACCTTCACATTGGCATGCGATTTTATTAAGTGTGCATGGGCTTGAAACACCAAACATAGGACATGACTTTTGTCAGCAGACGTGCTACCGAAAGAGCCTTGTTCACAAATAAAGTTTTTTTTGAAGAAAACGACTGGTGAAAATGCGCTAAGACCAAGTAAATGATGCACTTGTCAATCCCCTGCAAGTTTACATACAATTTACCAAAAGGAAAGCGCTTTCGCACGCAACAATTTGATATCAAATGCTACATAATCTGAATTTCAAAAATGCTGCTGCTTCTCTTTACCATCAACTAGCCAACGGTTTTGTGCTGCCAATATTGGGGACCTCTGATTCCTAGGGTCTAAAATATGTCCGACGGCATACATCGATTATTAAAATCGGCAACCTATGCTTTCTGAAGTGATTGGAAAATGAAGAATGTAGAGGAACAATAAATTGTGTTCGGGGTCCAATTCGTTTAATTCTATCATCTCCTAAACCCGATTAAGACACCAGGCTCCGAGCTCTTCAGGAATTTTATCTGCTGTGGAAGTTTAAAGACCTGCATTACGCAAGAGCTTCCATCACATAGAATTCATAAGTCTGTGTTTGGTTTGGATAATTGCAAGTTTCTGGATGAATTGAAACTAGTATAAAAGAACAACGATGATGAGATCAGGCATTGACTCTCCATCATCGGGCTAATGAAACGATAAAATAAATTCTTGTAAGCACTCACATTCTTACAGCTATATTGTCGCATAATAGTTAGTTTAGGACTAAAAACACTTATACAAAAAACCTTTTTTGATTACTGTCATTTTGAAACTAATTCCTTAGTAAGGACTGGTTCTGTCATCTAACGATTATTCTAGTTTTTATCCGAACATAATTTGATACCCTGTCGACAAAACCGCCAAATGTCACCAGGCTTCGAGGTCAAAGAAGTTCCTCATACTTCTGAAACCGTCCAAGAAGTAGAACAAATCACACTTAACACACACTTAGTGTTTAATTAAGCGAAATCTTCACGTCAGTGGAAAGCAATTTTGGTTAACCAAGTTTAATCGATTGGCGAGGCAATTCACTTTTAGGCGTTCATCAGGGTAAAGACGGGCATAAGCGCTAAGACGAGAATTTAATGAGTACAGCTAAGTCAGGTTGATTCGGTACAACATCTACTAAATCAAAATAAACATGATTTTTGGGACTATAAATTGAGCATTTTAGTGGCGTTTTGCATTAGAGGGGTACTAAAACTCAACAAAACAAATGATTTTAAGAATCTTGTTTTCAAATTAAGGATACACAATGGTGTAGTTTGTATTTTGCACTCAAAATCGCTATAATGATAACATCAACCTTGATTGGTTGGAAAAATTTAAAAATATCAGTGCATTTATCTTTCTCGGAGGCTTATCAGTTGAAATGAAGTGGGATTAACAGTAGGCAATTGAACAGGGGGTGAATTAGACTGCGGGAAGAGAGCTTCTTTTCGTGTGATCGCTAGAACCAACTGCACTCAACCTTGTACACAATCCATCAGGACTCATTGGGTGGAGAACATTAGAAAGAACGCAGAGGTAGAAAGCTCGCTCCATAATTTTGATATGATCGTTTTATTGCGGATGCACGGAATTACACTCAAGGCAACAAAATACCTAACTAGTCTTCACTGCCACTCAAATGTAGCGATGCATCGAGAAAGAAATCGTGAACCTGGAACTCGAAGGTGACTGTGGTGATGTTCTGTCGAGTAAAATTAAAGTGGCCCCACTTAAATCACCCTTCTACGTGCTTACCCGGTATGTGATGCCCTCTAAGAATATATACCCAATCGTTTTGCCAAAGTTAAAAAAAACGTTGCTCTCCGGGTGCAATGAAAACCACTATTTTTAAAAATAATCTTGCGTGTGTGCAGGGTTGCAAAACTCACAACCCTGAATCAAGTGCTCTATTATTTCCCTAGATATTAGCTGAGGTTGCAATGTCAGTGAACATGGCCAATACCCGTAATTGCGGGCTCCAATATGAAAATTGAAGGAGTGCGAAGCCTTCAACACAAAGCAGTAGGAAAATAAGACTTACCTCAAATTTGCCGAAGGTCATTGAACCCTCTGGGGGCCAATAGCGGGCCTGCGACACCACATCACCGCCCTCCGGGTAAGTGATGTTGAAGGGATCCTCCGTCACCTGCTTCAGTGACGACTCTGGCTCAAGACAGACAACCACAACAGCAAACTGCTCCCACACCATCTGCCAAAAGTCGGTAACAGTTCCCAGTAGGGGTGTCTCAGCCGCAATGTAAGAAGGATTTCGTGGGTCGTGATCATACTGAAGGCAGACGAATAATCCACAAGTTTGCGTTTGTCAAAAGTTCCACCATTACAATATCAAGTGTTTTAAATAGGCACTGGATCAAGCTCAATTGTGCTTCAGCAGTTAACTCAAAAACACGCAACTTACGCAAGATTATTTAATTCCGAAAAGCGTTGTTTATACAGTAAAGGAACCAGAACCAAATGTGCAGATAAGTTCTGGCGAATGTGGTCGTGTATAAAATGCTGAATGACAGTGAAATATGCCCTTCTAAGTGCTTCATAATACAGCATTTACAGATACAATGCAGAAATTGTGCAGTCATTGAGTTAACCTAGACTTCTTTAAACACAACTGTATTACTGGTCAATAATTCACTAATTGTGTAAAGATTTATTGTAGGGCACGTTAGCATGCTGAGTGAAACCATGCCATATGTCAACATTTAGGCGAGAGCTATGGATGAAAGCAATGCTCCAACGATGTGTCGTAATGTGGAAAATTTCAGTTAAAACAGCTTCAAATATTGTGAATTAAAAATCACAATAAATGAATTAGTTTTAGTAGTATTTCGTTGGTCTGGTTTGTGAGTAGACAATGAAAAGACTTTCCAAACTAGCAGATTTATCAAGTTCTCAGACTTCATTAATGCAATTTAACTGTCAATCTAGATAAACGCCAAAATACACTAATCCGATGGGAGAGATATAATGTTTTTCATTGACATATGTGCGATAACGAGGCAGGTGTGCTGTGACCCTGACAGGTACACAATTTTTTAATATGAAAAAAATTGCCTGAATTGAAGTTACAATTTGAATTTACCACCCAACAAAGTTGCGAGGGCTTATACGGCAACACTTACCAAGCCTTATGAATGTTCAAAATGTCTGACTTTATATTCACAGCATACCTCTAGCTGTTTCGTTGATGTCAGGAACAAGCAGACCAGAGAGAAAATTTACATCCCTTCAGGGGACTTGTAATACATTTGGTAAAATGTCAGTTTCGACTGTGTGTTCTGGCTCACAATCACTTTCCCCAACTTCCTGCTTCTACTGATTCTCATTTCTATACATCTGTATTTTTCTTGAATGACTTGAGCACACGCTATGCAGGCGTATTTAGTAAAACTTGTGCATGTTTTATTTTAATCGGACGCTGAAACGTCATGCTTGTTTGGGCATTCAGGTTTCGGTTTCAAGCTGCGGTGTTAAACAATATCTCGTTTAGTATTCTGATAACTAATAAGCCCTCGTAAAACATGACCTACCATGAGACTCGCGTTGATGTAGCCATTGCCCCGGCACGAGAGCATTACTCGAGTTTGTTCATCTAGATAAGAAAAGACAGTAATAAAAGGAGGAGAAAACCTTTGTCCCAGACGAACTAGCCGACAGGGCTTCCTGAACTGAACCACATTGTTGCTCCCTCCTCGCCTTATGGCACACATTGAGTGACCAGGTTGCTACGGGCAAAGATGCTGTGTTCTGTAAGTTAATATGACTTTTAACCACTACTATCAACTTACTACGAGGACACGAAACTAGACTGCCAGAACTGCTCCTCCACCCAACTTGCAAGCTTTAATGAACGTGTAATTGCTCTGAAATCATGGAACTATTTGTTCATTTGAGGTTAGGACTACTTGCTTTACGGCCTCATTCCGGATATTACTAAGATGGCCGTTGATTTCCTGTGTTTCTTCAACGATTGATACTGCAAGCACTGAATTCTACGAAGGCTTGCTTAAATAAGGTAGGTCTCTCAGAAGGCAAAACATTCACTACAACGGGATCACTTAGTGGTACAAAATCTTCCCACGCAACGCAAATGCCTTAAATGTACGACTTGGTCTGTACATGTGATGAATTATAGACAATTTTAGCTCACAAGTATTTTCCCGGATTCAGTTTTGGAAAATTTAACAATCTTTAGCATCCACTGACCCGGAAAAAATGAAGGTTTGTTATTGTTATTACAATTATCTTGATTTATTTGCACGCCAGAAATATTACAAAACTTGCAACGTTAACGCAGCCTGGTCTTTACTATTAATTATTCCGAAATTCTGGGTGGGCTAATCAGTAGAGTATCACAACCACCCACCTCGAATGAGCAGATTTAAAAGGTTATACCTTAGAAGATGGAATAAAATAATTCTTTTTGCTACGTCTGCTTTTACTTTGGGACATTCAAAACGGTAAGTCATGTGATGTGCTGAAATGACAGTAGATATCATTAAATTATGAGAGCAAATATTTGTGAAGCTGGTTTGTTTTATAAAAACTGTTTTGCCTAGATTTGCTGCTAAGTTTAAAAATGGTTTTAGAGGGATTTTCTGTAATAAAATTTCACAAGTCGTTTTGGCAGAACCGAGTAAACTCGTTAGAGATTTGATCTTATCTTAGTACTTTCATAAGTCACCAAAAGTGACCCCAAATCTAAGACATTTAAAAGGTAAAAGTAAGCAAACTCTTCAAGTAACACTGAATTTTGATCTTGGGGAACTGTACGATTGCGCAAAATGAGTTCACAGTCGAGTAAAACGCAACTGCTACCAAAACTCGGGTAGCACACGCATGTACACGAGCACTTTCCCCCACGTCAGGCATAACCCTCCTGGTGCGATTTGGATACAACTGTCAAAGAACTGATCATATAATACTAAATGGATGGCCAGCATCCAGTTTCGTTAATTGTTCATATTTGAGGCCAGAACGCCGTGTTCCGCAATTCAGTTTAGTAGGCAATTCACCAGATTAACTTCGGTTATCCAATATTGTTAATCTCTTAGTGACAGATAGGTTGGTGGAGGAGAAGTCCAGTGCACATGACCAGGAAGTTGCTTTAACTTAGAGCCAGGCACAACTCACATGGAACGGGGCACCCTTCGCGGTTCTTGTGAACGTTCTCAGGTCTTCGTGCGCACTCACAAGGCACGGCCTCTTCACTCTCGTAGGTGCTGATTTCCTCCCAATCGGCGTCAAGACGATCTCGATTGCGAAGGTGCTCCTCCATGTAGGTCTATGGGGGGAGGGGTTGAATCAGAATACGTGTTTAACAAATCCTGCCTAAGAATTTGGTCCAAGCATTACATTCGAGGAAGTGTGGTGTCGGCTACGTCATTGTAGATGAAAATAAGCGACTCCATATGTTTGTTTCCGTATTTTTTCTTTAAAAAAACATCTAGGTTCGAGGGTATTTTAAAACGGCCGAAATTAGGTTAATGGGAAATGTCACCTATCAGCGCAAGGGTATTGTTTATCAATTTTATAACGTGATTCATTATGGTTACTTTACGACAGCGGTAATAAAAACATCCAGTCAATCATAAGCAAAATCTTTGAGCGTCCGCGATTTCGTTCCAACACGCATTCTAATAGTAATATAGAGTCACAGGCTCTCTCACAAAGAGGATTAATGAAGTTGACAGTGACGCTGCCTGAATCGCTCAACAAGAGTGGACACATTGATTAAAGTGTTCCGCCAATCGTGTTCGCGTTAAAAGTGCTAGTAAACAGGCCTATATCTAAATAGCAACCGTTACCAACAAGAAAACTCCTTCTAGCCGCGATTTACAAGAAGACGTAGATATAACTAGTACTGGGCGTTAACCTCCAGTAAATGAATGTGCACCACTAAAAATTCGTCGTATTGTATTGAAGCTTCCACCTTTTACTTACCAAAATTAGGTGTCCAGTGCTGACATCCAGCGTCATTTGGACAGGCTCATCACCCCTGCAGCAAAGAGAAGTGCATTCAGATTTTCGTGTGGTTGCAAAATTTCTTCAGCTCTTGTACATTTGAGGACAACGAATAATTACAAAACAATCTGGTGGACTTGGTTTTGGCTTCTCCTTACCTGCGTAACTAGTGGTCAAGAACTGCACCAATCTGCGAAATTAAGGTTTATGGAGTTCATAAAACTATCAAGAAGCATTTGTTGTGTGAAAAATTGAGCTTGTGTTTAGGTGGGTTAAACAATAATTCAAAATTCCATCCACCAAATTTGATGCTAAAACAGCTCTAAACACAATACACTTAGTTTTGTTTTGCATACACAAGAAACTTAAATTAAAGAGGTTTCCAGGAGTGATTGGGACCACAAGTGGGAGTCAAATTTGTGATTGCCAGCTACCGAATGCTAGCTAACTTCAGCGGATTCGGCTATAGTTCTTAACCTACAATGTGATTTATATCTAATCTTTTCAATGAACATTACGATCCATCGCAGGTTAGGCGTGATCCTCTTAAGGAACCAACTCATCAAGATGTCATCATCAGGCGACCGTCCGCACGAAGTAGCTGGGCGTCCTAGTTACCAGTACCTTTGATCTTGTTTTAGTGTTATTAAAGCACAAGTTTCACTTACTAGCTATTTCGAAAGTTTTAAGAGCGCAATAAAAAGAGTGGGTAATTCTTGAATCAAACTGCTACTTAAAAAGATTCAATGGTAATCGGAACTGGCAAAGGAAAATTCAGAAATTCTAAAAGCAAAAAATGAATGCTGAAGGATGCAGCGACATCTAGATCATAAGGAGAGTGCGAAACGATTCCAAAGCTAAAAATACCCGCACAGACACACTCCTGATATATGCGCTCAAGTAGATTGCCAGACACAAATCAGCACTTTCACAGAATTCTTGCCTTCAGACAGTATTGTGAAGCCTACTTAGCTGCTAGTTTACTCAGACGGATTGTCAACAAACCAGGATGCACTGAACCCTGTAACGCTTTCCGCCAGAACCCGCACGCACGCATGACAGGCTCGTGATTCGTGGCTGTGTCCAGGCTTGCCTCACTCCCTCTGTGGCTGCTTTCGACCGTAGGTATTAACATCAATCCTTTTATAAATAACTGTTTCGAGTCGGGTAAAATCACTAAAATCAATTCAAACGGTTTCCTTCTCCTACGCTATGCCTATTCCCAAGACATAGTGCCAGCCTTCAAAGTAATGGTTTACAAAGTCCGATCTTGTACATACTAGATATTTCAAAAGTTCGAATTAGTGTTTGATTCATGCAAGTAATTTGGCAGCTTGATCTTGAATAATAATTATAATAACGTATTTGGGTAAAAATTTGCTTAGAACGTAAGAATAACAGAAATCGCGCCATTTTGCCATGAGGAGATGAGGTTTGTGGTCATCATATCACGACAAAGTCCGAGTTAACTTAGGCTACCAAGTGCTCTATACCGTTAAATTTCTGCAAACGTCGGTATCGTTTGCAATACGCCAGGCTAAGTGAGAAACCCCAGTCTTGTCAGTTAGTGTGCGATTGATATGACTTCCGTTCTTCGAGCGATGATGTCGCTTCAAAATTTACGAAGACGTACCTTCCGCCACTACTGCCTGCACTTTATATTTCCCTCAGGGTTGGTCCGTTACCAACCGTTTAGTCATCAAGCTGTCAACTGAGTGATTTTTGTGTAGGCTCTCGGCTATTTAAAGAATAGACTCACGTCGAAATCTAAATTTGAATGGGCTAGTGCCCAAAGAGACACGCTCGTGTGCCAACGCACGCTTGTCGCAAAATTAGTCCACCAGCATTAGCCTCAACACCATATCTGTTGAATTTTTGTTAGGATTTTTCCCATACCGTGGTGGATTCACTTAAATGACATAGGAAACTATGGTGCCAAACAATCATCCTCAGTTATTGTCAGAGACAATTATTGTAATCTTGAATCAAGCCGATTTCGAGCAGTTTGACAACCCACTTGAGAACAGCTTTTAATATTCATTATCAAACACAGAAACCACTTCACAAGGACCAGCATCAATGCACGCATCTCGTGGTTTTCAACAAGACATGGCTGAACAACGCCATGAGAAACGCGACCAAGAGGGGCTTTAGTTTACCGGAAGTTTAGTAAGCTTTGTCGAACTTTAAAATAATGCGGTGCAAGTACCACGACCGAACTTAAATTGATAAAGCCCCCTAAATATTCCTAAGAAAGAGTTAAAAGCCACAGCACTGCTGAGATTGGAAAGCTAATCATTTGTGGCATCTGTACCAATGGCAAGAAAACTTGCAGCACGTTCAGCTCATAGTTACAACGGTGGCTCTAAATCATCCATCCTAATCAAGAAGGTAGCACTTTAGCGTTTACATAGTTGACCAGAATACCGACTCACATTCAGCCCACAAAGCCCCTTTATAGTAGTAGTCCTAGTTGATACTTGTGATCCCAAAACAGAAGCATCAATCACAGTGAGCAAGGACACGCCACTCTCGCGTCCACCATACAAAGTCGACCAACCACAACATTGAGCGAACAGAGATGTGTTCATGACCAATCAGAGCAAAAATCTGCTCTAGGCTGCATGATCGATGGGTAAGAGGAGACAGGTACAATTGTTAAACTCCACCTTTTCCAGGTTTTGAACTTTAACGAGTTCGGAAGATGGGCCAAATCCATCTCCTCTACAAAATCTGGCCAATGACAAATATCAAACTGGAATCGGGTTCGGCGCTTGTAGAGCTTGAGCAAAACAAGCTAGTATTAGAAATGTCTCACCTCATAGATAATTTAAAAAGTACCGAGTAAAAGATATCGGTAGATGTGTCCTTTCATGTGAAGCAACACAACTACCATTCCTGTGGCCAACTGCAGCCACCCTCTGTGGTTTCACCAACTGTGAGCAACACTTCATAACTGGTGTTTTACCGATAAAATGACGATTGCCACTAGTCATTACCTTAGTATAATCCACGTTTGTGACGACAAGTCATTCATTAGAAGATGCCTTTTGACCTCTTTTTTCTCTAATGGTAACAGAACAAAGACCTCAAAACGTCCTGGCTTCACTTACGTGTCCAAACTTTAGATATCCCGTACCACAGCAATGTTTCAAATTTAACCAAAATCAAGAAACACTTTCAAAGCCTGTAGTGGTTCAGTATGAGGATTTTCCGTTGCCGACCAAAAAGAGGTTTACGCTAGGGACGATTTCAATTACATCTAAGACGGGGACCCAAATCACCTGGACTTTGCTATTCAAATTTCATATTTAGCATCGACATTTCTAATAAGAAAACTTGACCCGTAAAGTCAAAAAGGTTACGGTAGCTCTTACATTTTCGCAAGGAATACATCCGTGTAGTCACATGTCTTTGGCAAATGCGTTGTCACGGAAGGCGCTGGTGATAAAATACTTCCACGTAAGGCCGGTCTCGGAGGCCGTGGCGCCGGGTCTTTTCGATAACGTCGAAACACCATCAAGTCATGATTCGCCAGACTGGTTAGACCCGGCAAATTGAGCGAACTCATTGAACCGGTTTTCCGAAACAAACTTATTGCTGTCGGTAAGGCCTCTTTTTCGGCATTGTAACGTGTGAATGCCCGTATGCGCATTCATAGCTTCCGTGAGGGTTTCATAAGGTGAGCAGCGTTACCCAATGACAAGGGCTGTGTGGCTGTGGGCGTTAATGTGTGCGTCGACGCGCGTCAAGGAGCACTTAATCGATGGCGGCAGGCAGGGACCAACCAACGGAGAAAAAACTTGCGATCTGCACTGCCTTTAAGGAAGTATCTGTGGCGATGTTATAGGCTCATTTACTGAAAAAGTTCACGCACCAGACTAAATTATTCGGAAATATTTTGAGTGGTCCCTGAAAATGCCTAGACATTGGAACTGAATCAATTAAAACTATTGACTTGTAAGTTCAAAAAATCTTTGAATTAGTGGAAAATCTCTATACCTACCGTAAGATAATTTGTTGATCACCGAGGCTTAGAGAATAAAACATCTCGACACTTGAAAAGGGAATCGGATGTGCAAAAACGGAGTCAGGCATTAAAAGTGGTTCCATGCGGTGGTAGACTGCACAACAGAACGCAGAAACTTAACAGCAGCTAGCAACGCACATGAAGGACAACATCACCTGTTTAACTACAAAATGGACTTCACCTAATAGAAACCAGTTTGGTCAAAAGACACTTGTTTTGTGTAACCACTTCAGTTATTCAGTGTAGTCAAAATGGCACTGAGACAAACTTTTTCTTAAACTTTGATTATTAGGCTCTTGACGTGATTTAAACGGAAGCTTTAATATTACTTGGGTGGAACCGCTCAACTGCAAACTGATGTTTTGGTGAGTGGTAAAACTGATTTTAGAATGACGACAAAAGTAGATACCTCAAGACAGGGTTTACCACGCCTTATTTCGCCTACCTTACTTCAAAAGCGCATACGGTAATTGCTTTTCATTTGCGCTAAACCAATAAATAGGGCTCTAACGAGAACACGACGACGACACGAGCAAAACACAACGAGGAAAGAGGTCAAGCCATTTGAATTACCACGTTGGGGTGCTATTTAACTGGGCAACGCGACTGCTGGACGAAGTGCCCATGGACTCTGTTGAAGCCTCCGACCCACCTGTGCCAACAAGCGGTCGTCGAAATGCACCCTTAAACAGAATAACACATCTGCATGTTCAAAAATCGATTGCAAAGCAAACAGCGCAAAACTGCATCCTCTGATCAGCGTTTAACTAAGAATGGATTTCTACACAACGCGGTAGTCTCAGACATAGTTAGAGTTCCTGTGACGAAGCAAGGGAAATCTGTTAGTGCAAAATTTGGGCAAACTGAACAGCTGGATGTAGCACGCTATGCTTTACTATCGTGTTTTTCAATGCATCAAAGTACTCATTTACTGTGACGGGAATCTCAAGCCAATGTCGCGTTAGTTAAATATGATAGTCCCGATTAATCAAAAAAACAAACATTATGAGGAACAGTGACATGGACAGTTATGCAACATAAGTGTTGATAAAAATTTAAGGTAAAGCTGACTAAAAGCAAGGCATTTTGGTATAAACCTCTAAAATCAGTTGGGACTAAACACATGAGTAAACGACAGCAGTCTGGCATCATTAAATAATTTACTTAGGAAATCATGAAGTTACCTCAGTTTAAAAGAAAGGATGCCTTAGACAGACAAGATTTAATTGAGAGGAACTAAAGGAATGAGCTTAAATGGCTACCGTCAGGCTCGCAACATCACGTCCACATACCGCTACAATACGCAATTTTCACTTCAAATTTTTTTATGTGTGTCTCGACCAGAGAGTACTTGCATGTAGCGAACAGCTATAAATGCGCATTGCGCAAAACTGAACCGGACTCACAATGCGTGCATTGTGCGAATGCATAGACGAATAGGTTTTTTAAAGGTGACCGAGGCTGATACCAAAGTAATATTGGCAGCAGCAGTTCACTTTAGGGCTTATGAAGCCAGGGAAACTTAGACGCATTTACCTCAATAGCATTTCTATTTCACCTTCATAAAACAACTGAGCCTTGATATCTGGAAAACTTCATCACCACTTTGGCAGACCTTGCATACTGAACGCACGATTTGACGCTTTTGATCAGGATTAGCAAACTACTAGTTGGAATCAAGTACACTTTCCTCTGAGGAATACCAAGCCCGAATTCACGGTGAAATGCACCTGGATGCGTAGCTAGTAAGCATTGAATTATTGCTAACTTGCGTAAACTACAAACTAATGACTGGGAACTAACCCATGCATGTTAACTTTTTGCGCTCAACTTATGCGGAAATTTATCTCCGATTGGCACAAAATGGCTCTGTGTTCTGGAACTTATCTATCAATCCCAAACTACGTCACCGCGGGTCAAACAGGACATCTTTGCTTATCACCGTACCAGGAAATCAGTGGTGGTTAAGTACTCGTGAGAATGTATGACATTCAAAAAGTAGTAACTTTGTCTGTATGAAGCCCACGAGTTAACAAAAACCATGCGTTCAGTCGCACAGCAAACCAGCCCGTTGGTACGCCGCGACAAAAAAACCTGGTCACTCTACTTTGTTCATTGGAATAGCAGGCGCAGATCAACTGTGGTAAGCTGGGAAATTTAAACAGCCTTGCAAGGGCCAATAAGGTTACACAACAATCAATTCAATTGATAGCAAATAATTGGAACTGGTGGTCGTCCAGATTAAATTTGAGCATGGTAAATAACGTGGGAAATTTTCAGTAGAATAAAAATTTATTTCCAAGAAATGATAGCGAGTTTTTGACGACTTTAACGCAACCTTCATTTGTTCTCTTAACAGAAAAAGTTAGCAATCATAATGAAATCTGTTTCAGAATATTATACTTATCTTGTCATGCGAAACCATGTGCTTTTATGCAGCAAATTTACAGTCGCCTTACACTGCCCACTGAGTGAGCATTTTGATAATCATCACCGCGGAAATATTTGTGTTGTTATTCAGAGATCGCATAAATTTTATGCTTTATAGTATATTCGTTGACAAATTGCGCGATTAAAAGATAAGCGAAGGAAATACGTTTTAACAAAAACTACCATTTCGTACATTCTGGCGGAATGCAGCTGGTGCAACTTAAAAGGATGACCACAATGTTTAGCAGCGAGGATATTTCTATGAGTCTATGCTACCGAGAATTTCAAACGCGTCACCATTCATTCTTAATGATATGGAAATTATTAAAAAAACTTATTTGAAAACTCTAAAATATCATTGCAATGACATAGGGCGAATGATCTCGTGTAGATTTATAAGAAGATAAGAGCTTTACTTGAACTACCACACGGAGAGGGAAATTTACCATGGTTTACATAAACTTGCAAGGGGCCCCATGCAACGATTTGGAGGCAATGTCACAATATGGCTCTTGGCATGTGATATATTCATTAATTACTAAATTTATTAATAAATAAGCGAGTCGCAACTTCACTAAGTTGACGTCGATAAAATTTGTTCAATCAAAATTTAAGGGGACGGATCTTATGTCCAATGTCGAATATCATTATTAGGAATCTAGGCGCCTGAGCTGTGGGAAAAAACGATTACAAGCTTGGTTTCAACATACAAGATCATTTTTAACAAATCTTAGATATGGATAACTTAACAAATTTGACTTGAACATTCGTTATCTATGATCAATGACTAATAAGGAAGACGAAAGAGGCAGCTAAAGGGTTCTCGATTATAAAATCGTTTCTGCAGATTTCTTATCAATCAACTAACCTACTTATAATGTGAATTCGAATCGTATTAATAAGGCAGCTATTTGAAACCCCGGTACGTGTCTGGACTTCTTAACCAAAGGAAGGGGCTACCTGTTTGACGTCATGACCAGCGGTCTCCTGCACGGGTGCTGGAGATCCAATAGATAATGTGGGTGAACCTTCCAACTGGTTTCCACTGAAATCGTTGTGAGTTGAAGCATTTTGAGATGGCGAGCCGGAAGCCATGAGAGGTCGCTCTGAAATCTTTCTTGAGCCCTTGGCTTTCGAGCTCGACGCGAAACCACCCACATTGTTGCGACGACGCACGATGTACTGGACAAACAGGAGCACAGCCCCCAGCACAGCGAGCGAGCAAAGAACTATCACCAGAATGAAGCCGACACGCGAGACTTGGTCTTTGGCGGATCTGACCCCAGTTTCGCCACGAAAGGCCTTCATCGGATTCTCGCCCATCTCGGGGAGCTGCTCAATTTTGGCGACTGTGTGCGGAGCCGCCACCGGTTCACTTAGAAGCTATGAGGGCACGATTTAAGAAAGTGGAATTTGAATCAAAATTCAACGATTTAGATTGCGAGTGTTAAGAGTTTTGAGACAGGCGTGAATACCCCAAGCCGAAGTTTGAAACAAATTCATCAAAGACATTTGGGGGATAATAAGTAAACGTTAACCAATGAGCTCGATAGTTGTGGTAGGGATGAAGTATTAAACACTTTACAACTCATCTAGGACGCTGGACAAATGTAAGGGATTGAGGAAAGCAGCCTACTATTAATAGTGTCATCTTAATATAAACAACATTTAATCAGAAGTTAGGGGAATTCATCCCACGCATTTCAGTCTAGACATTCAGGCACAATGTTTGGGGGGAAATCACAGCACAATATATTAAATAGTCAGCTCCAACTATGGATATACTAATATAGAGGTGCTTGGTGAAAACACCCACCTTAGATTATCACCTGCGTCAACACCGCAACCACTTAGAATAACGAAAATTTTCCAACTCATGCCACCCCCAGCATGGAAACTTGACAGCAGAAAACCTGCAAGAACGGGACAAGGTTGGCTACGACATAGGATCAGGTGCCGCCTTGTAGGCATCCGTTCGGCAATGGCGCTAGCTATATAGTGAATCGCATTAATCAACTCCCATCATTGCTGGGGCTGCATGATGTCCAGACACTCGGACAATTCAGTCCGTCCTCTAATCAGTGCGTCAGTTCGTTCCCTCCTATCTCAGTGGTCCCAGTGTTTGTAGGGACACGCCTGAGCGTGCACCTCCTGTGTTTGAACGGGACACAACCGTCGTCTTTTCGAGTATCCACGGGGCGTAAGTAGGCCCACACAGCGAGTGACGCCGACGTGATCACCTGGACCACCCCGGCATTATGGCGGTTGAATCCAAACACACACAAAATTTCGCATCATCACGACCTGTGTGTGAGTCGTCTTAACATTATGCGGACGACGACGATGACGATGACCATTACTGGAATAAGATTTAGGTCAGTGATTTTCCGTACATGTGAACTCCTAAACCCTTCGCTCTGTGGATCCCACTACCCTGAAAACTCCTAGATTGTTTGTTCCACGCAAGTGGTTGTACAACTACGAAAATTGCAAATAGCCTTGATCGAGTTGTTAGGTCAAGAGAGAAGTTTACACTTTCTTAATGCAACGCTATTAAATTCTGTATAAAGGCCTCTAAAACACACTTACAGGCATCCCGATTCCGACTTCGGCAATCTTGTTTTGTTTCAGCCATTGTGGATTTTGACCTTATAAAAGAAGCGAAGTTCCCGGTTACTTAATTATAATAACTTCAAGCAAATGAAAATTGTTAATTTCTGATTTAGAATATGCTTACCAAGAATAATATGGTAGCGATTTGGGCGGGACGTATTATTTCAAATTTACCACCATTTATGTTTTTTTCCAAATATCAAGCAGCTTGCATGTGTGAAGGATATTTACACAACACTTTGTGTCGTGTTTTAGAAATATTAGCGAGTGTGACCTTGAACGAGCAGTCCCCATTTCGATTATTTGAATATGGCCTACCGTATCACGTATTATCAGCGGTTCAAAGATTATACTACCTTAACCATTGAGCACACATTGCCCAATTACCGACAACCATTACCTCAATTATAACTTATGGCCAAATTAAAACCCCCAGTGACTCCAATCAGCCATCTTCCTTCGTGGCTTTATGGACGGCAAAGAAGAGCAAGGTTGCAAATTCATCAGATTCTTAGTCAATCATTGTTATCCAAGCCCCGACCAGCACAAAACGGCTCTTAAGACCTTGTAAAAAGGAATCGAGTGGTGCTTGGGAGAGAAGACCTATCGATTTGCTGAAAACGAATTCAGACGAGAGGCTGACTCACCCATCATGGAGGTCACATCGCTTGCTACAAGTCCCGTCTCGAATGGCACAAAAAAGAGCAACACGCGACCAGTTTTATCAAGCCTAAAATAAAAAATTAGGCATTCAATTTGCTCTAACAAAGAACATAACTTAGCGACACTATTACGTACGCTGTTTTGGGGCAATGGATATGTTCACTTCGTGATTATGCGAAACTATAAGCAATTAAGTCGCATCAAATCACTACAATATAGCGTCTTAACCTTGTAGTCTAATGTGACAGAATGGACATTAAACAACACACCGGTAGCAACGACAGCGTAAAACACTCTGTCTTTATCCGACACTTCAACGGAGTTTGTGTGGGGCTAGTTTAGCGACGTAATAAGCGCAGTAGATGGAATGATTAACCGTCATTCTGTTTTTTTTTTCTAAATAGATCTGACTCATCCTAACGGAAGCGATTCAGCACGAAAAACAAGTTAAACATGCCTTCATAAAACAACCATGAAAACTGGAAAAGTCATGTAGTGCTAATGAACGGAGTGCATTACAATCAGCAGTGGAAATCGATTTACTCAATTCGTAAGCGATATTTTCCCCAATCCACACTACCGCGGATACCGTTTGCAAAATCGTTCAAGCGAGTAGTCAAATATGTTAATCCTCGATGAACATGCCCACATGGACAAAATCCCTGATCTTCAACACCTCAGTGATGAGAAATTACCCATAGAGGAGCATTTACTTGTTAATTCGGGGTGTGAGCCTAATACCGAACACTCAGCTAGCGATCTCAGCGTCTTGGCTAAATGTTTTACACCACTAGCAAGACAGCCTGATGATCGCCAGGCTTAGAAATTAATACTGCGCTTGCCAGCACCCCACTGTGCTATTCTGCAGCTACGAAGTTAAAGGGCGCGTCAGGATCCTCCAGAGTAGATAGACCTAGGCTTGATCCTGAACTATCTCAGACTGAGGTCAACGCCAATCCCATGATGACAATTCAAATTCACTGAAGGAAGCCCTTCCGTTTAAACCAAGTAAATCCGAGAGAAGAATGCCTCTTTCCAAACGCGACAAGAACATAAAAAAAATGCACAGCATTAATGAATGGCCTGGTTCAACGTTCTGTCCGCTACCTCACCTTTCTATCGTATCCACTGGGTCTCTCGTGTGTGTTTTGTTACCCGTTCGCGCCACAAAAGAGCGAACGAGTCAAAGCCCATAGTGACACGAGACACACGCCTGATCCGAATTTGCCCCACAAAGACCCGGTAATTTGCCCTTACATTGAAAATGAACGAAAGACTAACGCGAAGTGATAATGGCATAGTGCGACCCCGATCACACTGTCGGCCAGACAGCTCCCGCTCCCGTTATCAAAAAAAGGGTTTGAGTCGCATTCGGCCAATCAGAAACCGAAGACCAGGGAGCGGGAAGTTTGAGTACAACGAGGAAGTGTTGGGTGTCAGACTTGGTTTATAGCTTACCGAGGGGACAGTGGAGGTGGTTTAACAGTAGACAAGTGTCACTAGACTTGCCCGGAGGCACAATCTGGGTATGGTGTTTGTCATGACGGCTGAAGAAAACTTTTTCGCACATATTCCAAAGGCGTAATGGGAGGCGATGGGCATGTCGGAAACGCTTGAAAGGGGTTAAGTTTGGTTGGCTAGGAATCGCTCAAAACTGTATTTCAACTCTGCGACATGACAGTTAAGCCTCACGAAACAGTACTAAACATTTAATGCCGTGAAAATTTCGTTTTTTTTTATAATGTCCATACTGGGAAGGGGAGCATAAAATACAAAAACCTCACGCTCCACTTCTGGACAAAACCAAGAGGTAACAATGGCGCATACAGACCAAGGCGCTTTTGTCTTCTAAGGAAAACAATTAGAGGCAGAAAAGAGAAATAGCAGCGCTGAGTGCAAGCGTCCCAAGGCGGCAACACTCAAACCTTATTGACTAGGGAAAGAACATTAACTAGAGCGACACAAAATGAAAATTGGGAAAATCAACCTACCTCCGGTGAATGCGGAATCGTTTTACACCCACACAATCACACACACACATACCCATTGAATTATTATTCATTTTGCCTAAATAACTTGAAATGAGAAAAAGCGTGATTTTTTTGACGAGGAAGGAAGAATTGCCATTTCTTCTATATTTCCTATTCCTGGTTGCAGTGAGTAAACGGTGATAAACTATGCTCGTGTAAGTGCAAGGTGCTTCCGTATAACGAAACACAAGACAAAGTGTATGCTTCATTTTTGGTCACATTACCGGAAAATGAACCCATTATTAACTGGCAAATCTAGACTTCCTTAACCCAACCGTGCTTCTAATAATCGTAACGGTGGTTAGAGAATAGTGAAATACGATCTTAATCGATTATTTCAGAAGAACTTCTACAGTCACATGAGCAATTTAAGCAATTCAATTCGGGAAAGCAGGTAAAGCAATGAAGAATTCATCCAGCTGAAAGTATCCGTTGCGAATACAGGGAAGACATGCAGAGATGGGGTGAAAAGCAAGAATGCAAATGTGCGGGTACTTATCCCCATTGAAAGCAGCGGTAATTAGTAAAGATCTAGTATAATAAGGTCTGAAAAGAGTAGTTGTACTGGTGGTGCCTTCGCCTAAGTAGTAAGCAGTCTGGGTAAAAGAACGTAGCTTACTGAAATTGCGCGATCGGTGGCCGGATATCCAGATCCTCAGACAGCTCTCGGAGAAATTCATCTGCTTCAATGTAGTTAGCTCTGCATTTGTAGAACAATTAATGGTTTTAGTTGATTACAAAAGAATATTTATAAATTATTTTTAAATAACTAACGCACAACGCGGTAGAGACAAGTTACTCTCTAGTAAAATCCCTTGACTTCTGCGTGTATTTACATAGTTCTTATTTTGAATATCTTCTTTGTGGAATGAAATAACTTATTGAAGGCGTACATCGTAATACAAACTATAAAGTTCGCTTTTTTTTCGTACTTCGGTGTCCAACACCATAAACCGCTTATTTGTTTAACTCCATTGAAGAGAATTGTTTTAGTAAGTATAGTATAACTTGAGAGCCCTGAAATTGGTCGAGAGAAAGTATTTTACTCACTTTTTCTTAAAGTGGCAATTTTTTTAGAATTCAAGCAGAGCGGTACGCCAAAATACTTGCTCCAGAGGTTGCAAACGAATGAAGACAGTCTTAGCGGATCTCACATAGTTGCAACCTCAGGAGGGGCATTCGGTGTCTTTAAGAAAAGAGACACGACGGAACGCGACTTACGGCCTGTCTAGACGAAGCCAAATAGTGTTTTTTGTGCGGCGGTCGAATTCGGCCGAGCCAACTTTCACCACTTTGTCCCGATTGAAACGTTTGAGAGGCATCGTTTTACGCTGAAGGTGTCTTTTTGCATAGGCGCCTAAAATTCCACCTAAAACAGTTTAGCGACCTGAAATACTGGCAGTTAATGAATTGAGGAACCGCCTACGTTGCTGGCGGTACCCCTTAAACCTAGCTCATCAGTTTTCAGAGACGATGCAAGGTTCCTTTCAGAGTTCTCCAGCCCTTTCATATGAATTTTTCACATGAAAACCTGTCCAAATATGGATGCACCACCTGATGGAATGTTGGTTTGAGCCTAAGTGATTAACTTAGCAAGTCTACGCTGCATGAGAATGTTCATTAGAAGTATGCTTGTTGGATTTGATTTTTACGAAAATTTCAGCAGAAAAGAGATCGTTATATTAAAAGAAACATCTAAACCGATTACTATTTTTTGTAGGTTAAGCATTATGTCAGAGGTTTCAGGTGTCATTTAAACAATTTTAAGGAAAATATTGACAACATAAATTTAAAAAACCCAGATTTGAGCTAAAGTCCAAAGAAAATGAATTTAAAATAGCCGTATTGTCCATTGCATTTATTAATTTGAGTAAATCCAAGGACCAATCACTGCTCTACTTCATATTACTAAACTCATTAATTAATGATGATGCTCCAAAAAACTCCCATAACTGTGCAAATCGTTAACTTATGTTAAGACAGTTGAGGCGAGCAAGTTCTTCCCCTCCCTACGCTAGTGCTTCATGCTCAAACCACAGCTTGGGGACAATTTTTAGGTCTTGCAGCAACATTATGAACGAGCGGAAAGAAAGTCACGACTGTGAGAGCTAAAAATACGCCCCCGAAAGTAGGATGGAAGGCACTCACGATTGGTTGGGTTGGGCTTCAGTTTACTCGCTTCGCTGAAGCACGTGCGCAAGAAATTTTACTAGTCTGATTGGTTGAACTTCCAATAACTAAAAAAAACTCACGAAGTTCCAGACTTTAGCAACAACGACACACTTTAGTTAATAATATATAAAAGATCTAGTCCAGTAGTATTGGCTTACATTTACATGGTTACAGTGTTGAGAAAATGCTTTTTTTCATACACTAATATTACACGAAACTCTTGATAAAATGTCAACCAAATACTACTTAATATAAACTTTCAAAATACTTTGTAATTTTTTCTATGCATACTTTTGGCATAATATAATCAAATTGCGCAGTTCAATTTAACGGAAAAAAATTATTCCAATATTGTTGAATAGTGCGTCTAAAGATCGTCTACATGATCCATAAAATTATGATGCATCTTGTCGTTACCTTCGGTTGGTTTCAACCCGAAGTCCACAAAATGCGGTCGCTTTCATGAGACATGTTCTACTTTGATATTTATTTCAATCAGAAAATATATAAAATCACACGCTACAGACCCCATCAAAAGGTATTTAACTTGGAGTGATAATCTAAAATTTGTTATTTAAGTCTCTAAATCAAACGAAACTGAACACAAATTTAAGCTTCTTCGGTAAATAGCTGAATTCTGATTTACGTTACTTTTACAATATACTGCCAGCATAGTACATGCATGTAGAATAAATTCCCTTGAATTGTCATACAGTCACAATATGAATTAAGTTGAATGTTATTCAGAAATATATTTCCCTCAAAAATAATCGATTGTCATTAGTAAATATGGACAACGTTCTGTTTTGACATTCACAATAGTTCAATCATTTAAAATTAACTGATTTTACCAAATCTTCTTCTTAAAATGAAAAGTATTTGCAAGTTGGGTGTAGTCGGAAGCGTGACAGGTCTGTTTTGGCGTTGTCCGTATGTTTACATGCAAAAATGTTCTAATTTTCACAGTCACGTTAAAAACCGACTTAATTAATAGTGTGCCATTTCTTATTGACGGAGTTTTGAAAAGGGGTTTTTAAAGACATTTTATTTGTGAAATCCGTAAGGACTCATTTTCTTACACTCTTTGATGAGCAACCAAGAAAAATTTAGCGTTTATCACAATATGTTTTAGGATCAACTTAATACTAATACGAAAAAACAAGCCCTTTTGTTGATTAAGTTCTGTAAAAGTTGAATAATGAGGGAACATTATAGTGTTAATTATTGCAATTCTTACCATAACCGCCTTTTGTCGATAAACCACGAAGGTTATTCAGTAACGACGTATCCTCATAGGGAATGATGATATGTCCTGTGTTACTGAGGCCCAAGGGATCATCACTATCTGAGGATCTGAATTTACCGCGGCGACTCCGTTGTTCAAGAAATTCATCTCTATCGAAATACCGAATTTCTTGATGACTGACGTCTCGCAGTGACCACTTCTTTGCTGCCGATTTCTCCCCAAAGTCATCCTCTTCTGGGAAAGGATCTGGAAATTCAGGCACATGAATATCTTCTTTGGAATCGAACACTTGATGTGGCAGTTCTCCGCAAAGTTTCACGATATCCATATTGCTGTCCTGAAGCCTACAATGCAAAACCATCTTGATTTGACTGACAGCAATTATAAGCTAAGATATCCATCAAAGGCATTGACCCACTGGTATTTAGACTCTGTCACGGCTTTTTAACAGTGCTGTGACGGTGAAACCAGTCATTTGGTTGGTTGGCAAGCCATCCTCCAACACTCTTTATTTTTGCAGACAATATTTTCCAGGAGAGCAGGGATCCCGTTTCGCTAGATGCTAATAAACTTAATTTTCCCTAATTTCGTTAACAGTATTCTCAAAATTTTGATGGCCCACTTGTAGAAAGTTACTAATATTCAAACAAATATGTTACCCGACTTTACTAGCTAAACCATTAATTAAAAAATGACCTCAACAGAACCAAAAAAATACCCAAAGGCCTTCTGCACGTTCTTAGAATTCCATACACGATTTTTTAAAGTGGATTGCCAGAAGTTGTGAATCCTTCAAAATTGTTTTAAAAATTACAAATAATTTGACACACATCGACATACAGCACCGATCATTTATTTAATTAGCCGCCTATGAAGGAAGATAAGAAGGCCGAATTTTGTACCTACGTAGTATGTTGTATACTTTTAGTGGTTTCCAACTACTATTCCAATCTGAAACTTCGGTGAAACTCGTTTGAGACCGCTTGCCATTTGTTTTCCAATATAGGTTTCACTAGTTCTACAGCATACTGACGCACCTGAAAATCTTCGGGCGAACATATTCATAATGATGCAAAAATCAGAAGAAAAATAGTTACTAATGCTAAGGCCAACTAAAGCAATAGTGTTTCACAGAAATTAAAGGAAGTTGTCGGCTGTTTAAGAAATGTTAATTCCTACCTGAACTTCAAAATAAGTCCACGAAAAACACATTGAACATATTCAGCAGAAAAGTCCAATCCAACCCGGAATAAATCTCTCTTGATGTTATTGAGGAGGCTTCGCTCTGCAAAACTCAACTTGAACAAACTTTTGTCAAAATTCCCTTCAACACACTTCCCAAATAAGTCATCTAAGTCGAAAATCGTTTACAAAAAAAATATTGATAACCATCTTCACATGTTTCTGTGGGGAGACAAACGTCCGAAGTTAAGCAACCTGTAGAATGTCATCGTCTAGAGTCTTGGGAAACCTACCCACATAGCCACCAACAATAATGTCTGGGTGTTGGTTTACCCCATCTGAAATATACGACGCTGAAAGGAAAACTTGGTATCGAAAAAAGACTGATGAATAAATAACAAGCACTAAGGGCCAGATTTTAAAGCTAAACATCGGCCCTCATCAAGAAACCTGTGAAGGTCTAAATACAACCTTCAACAAACAGTTTAGTAATGGGTTTGATAGGATAAACAAAAGTCGCAGGGTCAAGTTTATTTTCTATTTCTACTTTTTTATAACTGGTGATTTATGTGCAATTTACAAATTAGGGATTTGTAGCCTTGTTCCAGTAGAAACATTAAGTAGATTGTCTTCCACATCTATCGAACGCCCCTAAAATGATCATAGGTTATATTCCAAATATTCAATAATAGAATTTTGAAACGATTCGGAACGTTGATTAAACATTAATGACAATGGCTTTTTAATGACAGATTTTTTTAATGATTCGATCTGTAAGATGCTAAAATCTGCCAGTTGAATGTAAGATCCAGCCTTGGTCTATTCGTCGCAAACTGCATTATTTACAAGATATTCCCAAAAACGGTGAAGACCTTTTTAGTACAGGTAATACCTATAATAGAGCACTGCTGGACCTTAGCATATAAATAGACGTAAACACTATAATAAATTATTCATATTTTATTACTTAAAGTGGAACTTTCTCTATTGGTAAAGATATAACTTAAAGTATACCAAAATCTGTTAAGGTATGAAAAATATTATGCATAGTTAACATTAAGATCAAATTCATTCTGCAAACTCTAAATCTCGGATTTACTAGAGCCGACACACTTGAATAGTTACAAAATAGCGGTACATAATATTATCACTTCTCTCAAAATCTAAAATTTATTTACTTTTGTTTAAGTCAGTCGTTGTACCTTATTAAGCAGGCATTTTTGCTTAGCATAGACTATACCTATAATGTCAATCACCATTACAAAAATAAACTTCAACTTCTGATTTTTCTTTATTCACGTTAGTTAATCCGGTTTATCCATTTTACAACATGACGACCGCTTTTCAAGGCATGTCTTCAGCCAAATGGGAATCTCAACTCGCCTCAGATTAGTACAGATGTTTATTTGGGATTATGCCAACATGTAATTATATACCCTTTAGGTCTTAATGGACATAAATCTTGGTCCATTTAATGCCCTAAAAATAAGTGAACATAAATTGTTATTCTAAAACCTTATTTTCTTGCAATCCACAATCAATCCTTTAATTCTACTATTTAACGTAGCAGCTTTGGAAGCATTACCACTGCTATTGTCCCCCATTTGACTTTGCATTGTAGACTCAGTTGTTTTGATAGAACACTCAAACCAACCATCATAAGATGTGGAATACTTGAGCCCCAAAACAAAGAAGATAGGTACAATAAAAGAAGGCTTTCTGAATAGCCTTAAGTCAGAATCATCCGTCATGTACCGTAACTCCGAGTCCACAGTACTATTTCTCATGCTTGTCTCTGATTAGCTTTAGATCTTCAAATAATAAAGGAAAGTAGATTAGCTAAGCTCAGCATCACCTTAAATGTGCGCGCCCTTAGGCGCACTTATACGTCGCTGTAGAATACCGAAGCTCATGTAAGTAGAAAACAAGTGCATCAGACAATGTTCTATTACCAAATCACAAACCAGAACCTTTCGCTTGGCATCACCTATCCGAGTCCACCACGCTGGCTGCGCCGCTCATTACATCCAACTTCTCGAACGTGTCACTCTGAGGCTGGCTGCATATCTTCCTCGCACGCCATTGAAGCGTAAAGTGACGGAGGAATTTCTGAGTCCTGTGTGGTCCAATACGTCTACGGCCTTATACGTCGCTACTGTAGGATATCCGAGCCCTAATAGGTAAAAGACCAGTACAACAAAACAGGCTTTATTGACCAATCACAAGCCAGAGCCACACGTCAGGCACCTTCCATCCGAGTCCTCCACGCTGGCCACGCCGCCCATTATATACTGTTTCGCATTAGCGTCTTTCTCTGGTTGGCTGCCTTCCTTTCCCGCATGCCATTGGATCGCAGAGACACGGGATTGGCTGAGGCCAGGTGGTCCAACATGTCTGCGCCCTAATCCGACGCCACTGTAGGTTTCGGCCCCATGGTATAGTGAGGAAGAGAATGAGACAAAATGATTTTG